TGGGTGGACCGTCAAATGCGGGGGAATCTCAATCACGAACGAGGGACCCGTGGGGTCGTCGCCAGCTGCTGAAGTGACCTTCCATGGCCCAAACCACTTAGGGAGGAGTTTGTGCGAGACGTGCTGCTCGAGCGTGAACTCCTCGGAGGTGACCCAAACAAGGTCGCCAGCGCGGATTGGACATGGGATGCGACGCCGGTTCGCTTGCTGCTACATACGGACCTGAGCCTTTTGCATATTTGCACGGGCTTTGGCCAGCAGCTCCTTGTACTTCCGTGTCCAAGCGGGGGAGCAAGCGGCGTCGACATCGACAGCCCGTGGAACGCCCCTGAAGGAGCCTCGCTACGGAGAAGTACACATCATCCGCAAGAGAAGCACTGGGGCGTGAGATGGCGACCCCTCTTGAAGCGACAGTTGCCCCGTCGTCTTCCCCAAGCTCTTTGACCTATCCGTCTATCCCTCACTCCCCCCCTAGCATATCCCTGCATTCCTGCTTTTTCTGCACCTTGCCTATGATACCAGACCGGGGGGACTCACACCCCGGAGGACCTAGTTTTATCTCATGGGTACGATGCAGCTTGTGCCGCATGATCTGGTCCCACGGATTAGGTATTGGTACGAGAAGAAGTGGAACTGTCCCAACTGCCGAACGGACCAGGTGCCTACAGAAAAACGGTGCGTAGAGGCTAGGACAGAAAATAGATTCTTGCCAAGTGTCCGTAGAGCAGAGGTCTGGACGGACCTCCTCCTGTTGAGAAGACTCAACGAAGACCCGCTCACGGAGCTTACCAAAGCGGAACGTCGGCTTGTCACGAAGCGAGCTCATGATTATCATTGGCAGGAATCAATCTTGCAAAAACGAAAAGACAATGACGATAGCGGGTCTAGCTGGCTGACGGTTCCACACCCTCTTGCTAGGTTCGATTAGACACGAGCTGCCCACGAAGAGGATGCGGTCCATTTCGCAGTCAAATACACGGAAAAAGCTATAGAGAAAAACGGATGGTATTGGTCGGGAGTTCGGGAGGATGTCAGATACATTGTCCAGAACTGCCCGGCATGTGCGGCTGATAAGGCGCCGGTACAGATGCCACGAACGATGGTACCGACTAAAGTAGAACGCCCCTTCCAACGAGTTAGCATCGATACAACGGATATCAACGTACCGAAAGGTACCGTCGATCAGGGCGAGCTCAATGTCCTTCTAGCGGTCGTCGATCATTTCTCCAAGTGGATCGAGGCCTATCCTATGACTAGGTGGAACTCGCAACAAGTGGCCTGGTATATTAATCGCTTTTTGTGCATGCATTTGGACGTAGAAGAGGTCCACATGGATAACAGGTCGGAATTCCAAGGGGAGGTAGAGCGACATCTTGTAAGGGCCGACGTTAAGATTCTATACTCACCTAGGCACTGACCACAGGCCAACGGGCTCGTAGAGAATGCCGATCGAATGATTAAGACTGCCCTTAGATGGAACATTACTGCAGGATATACCAGGCCCTGGCCTGTCATAGTCGACCACATCCTGGCCGTCTATCGGGCTACCCCACACGGTAGTACAGGGGTGTCCCCATTTCAACTGAGAACCAATAGTATCCCCCGTGTGCAGTTGTCACCTCTAGTGGGTACGGAAGTTAGAGCGACCCGGGCTCAACACCGAGAAAAGGCCCAGCATTACATGGATCGGATGGCTAGGACCTACCCCACGTTAGCCCGAAGGCGACAAAGGGTCGTGGATCTGACGGACCAGCGGCAGATCAGAGATTACGAGAACCGACATGCCGCCGCTGGTCCATTGCCTCGCTATAAGATCGGGGATCTAGTGAAGGTACGGAAATCCGCGCGCTCCTCCAAGATCCACCCTCGCTATACTGGCATTTACGAGATGAGGGAAGTTGGCGCACAAGGCCAACACTCCTTGAAGCTGATCCCCCGGCACAGCGCACAGGCCAGGCCGCTGACTTGCCACACTGCTGCCCTTCTCCCACTCCAGCCATCGCTGGATCACGAGTGTGCCCAAGGCCCGTCCCAACCTTCTCTTTGTGCGTCCTCGTCCTCACTTACTTCTTCTTCCTCCTCTTTCCGATCCACTTCCTCACACTCTCTTTGATCTCGGCTGCAAGCTGCACAAGCTATGCGCGAAGCCCGCGGCGCCAGAGAGGTTCGACGTGCCGTGCAGTGGGCGGAGTGACGGCAGGTGGCAGAGTTGGCGGTAGACTTGGGGTAAGGCAGTCAGAGGGACTGAGCGGTGGTGGGGATCAGACGCCGACAGGGGCAGGGTCTTGTGGCTATGGTTGTCGGTGGTTTTGACGGACTGGGGACTGGGCCCAGAATGGCCAATTGAGAGAACTTTGTATTTTGAAGACGAAGCTTTTTCTCCATTGCTGCTTTGTCCCCTTGTGATGTGTGCATGACTCCGAAGGTGGGGTAATCTGTTATGCATGTCAGGTATGAAAGTCTATGGATGTTGAATGTTTCATTGAAGGCTCTATGGGTATGCGTGCGTGTATGCGCCTCTGGGCCAGATGAGCGGAAGTGCCGAGTGTCAATTGCTTGAATGAGGGCATGAATGCGTCTGTCTTGCCCGTCTCCCTTTCGTTTTGATTAATTGCACGAGTGTGTGTGATACGCGCCAGCCTCCTTTCACCGTCTCTCTCTCTCTCTCTCTCTCTCTCTCTCTCTCTCTCTCTCTCTCTCTCTCTCTCTCTCTCTCTCTCTCTCTTCGGGCGACGTCGTGTGTGTGTGAGTGTGGGCGCTCTCTCTCTCTCTCTCTCTCTCTCTCTCTCTCTCTCTCTCTCTCTCTCTCTCTCTCTCTCTCTCTCTCTCTCTCTCTCTTCGGGCGACGGTCGGGACCCCAAGAGGAGGCGGATACTTTCGGAGAGATTGGCCACCCGCGTCCTCGCGAAGCGAACGACCGCTCTATATCCACCACGGGTGCCCGCCCCCGCGTTGAGATTGATGATACAGAGAAGAGACAGAGAAAGAGATCTGGGCGCATCCTTCTTCGGCGGCGTTCATTGGTCTTCTTTGCATGGACTCAGGTTTCGTCTTGACGAGCGGGAGCGCGGGCCGTGGCCCGAGCTCGGACCTTGCCTCAGATCGTCGCAGCGCGCTTCCGCCCTTCCCGATCGCAGACGACGACGGCCTATACTGCGATGCGGACGTGCGGAGCCTGCTGCGGCGCACTGAGCCAATCCACCTTTATAACCCGACCCAGGCGTGCCATATAGGCAAGAGTGGATTTGTGCTGATTCAGCGATTTGCTTCCCCGCCTTTAATTTTGCCGTACACCGACCTCACGGTGTTGCCCTGGTCCGTTGTGCACGCCACCTGGCGACCACGGTTTAATTGCCACCGGTGTCGCTAGTGAGACTCGTGCTTGTGGCGACGGTTGGTCCTAGGTACGAACGGGCTACTCGATTCCCCGAACTCTCCCGTAACGCGGGTGCGCCCCCCGCCCATTTCCGAACCTGGGTTCCGTCAACCTGCCCGACCCCGGGCGACCCGCGCCGTCCGCACGGACTACACGAATCCGACAACGAAGCACTGAACCTGTTTTCGCGGCCTCCACCCCCAAGGCCCGCGCGAACCCTGCGCCTCGGGGAACGGAACTCCGCCCCCGTCTGCTTCGTTTTTTGTCTCCTCTCCTCTCGTCTTTATTTTCTCTGTTTCCGAAAAAGGACGACGGTTGGGCCGTAGGACACCGCCCGCCCCCTCCCCATCATCTGCCTTCGGCGACAGCCCAAATCCCCGCCCAGGCACCTCGGGCCGAAGCAAGAGTCCCCCGTTTCGTCAGGATGACTCACCCCCACGGCCAAAAATCCTCGGCCACACCCCTAATAACTCTGATCGGCGTCCAAAGTATGGAACGCTGTGCGGGGGCGTGAGGTTGCACATCACACGCGATCAGGACTGCACGATGCTGCACTGTGATGAACGTCCTGCTGTTTTTTTGACATGTGGACAGCATGTCCTTTGTCAGGACTCTTTTGATGGGATGGTCCGTGCTAGCCGTCCTCCTGAATGGTGTGCCGAAGTAGCTCTCCTTGTGTATCCTTGTGAACATCCACGTCATCCTCAACATTCCTGTCCTATCTGCTGGGGTGGGGGCTCCTCTTCCTGACTGATCAATAGAATCAAGTGATCAGGAGCAACAGATGTGGACTTGAAGAAAGAAGAAAAAAGAAAAAAATTGAAACAGAAAGAAAAAAAGAAAGAAAAAAAAGTACAAATTTCTGAAGAAAAGAAAAAGAAAACAAGAAAAAAGAAAGAATAAAATAAAAGGATATGTTGAACCTTGTAGTGACAGTGGCAGTTGGTTTATCTGTGGGATGTGTCACTTGCTTTCTTCCCTTGTCTTTTCTTTGATTGGATCCCTTTCTCTTTCTCTTGCCTCTTGTGAGGTCTGGTTTCCTCCTTTTCTTTACCTCTTTGCCTTTTGGCTGCGTGCAAGTGGGTCCTTGTGACACACGGGGATGGGGGCAGCCAGCGCTCAACCTGTCATCCACGTGGCTGGCCTTGTACGTAAGAGGTGATGAACAGGTGGGGCTTTCCTTCCTTACTTCTTTTCCTTTCCCTGTTTTGTTTTTTTTCGCCTTCGCGCTCTGATTCACAGTGCGACAGTATATATGTTGTCACATAACTATGAACTAAAGGAGCGCACTTTGCAAAACGAACGGCAAAAATAAGAAATAAAAAAACAAGACAAACATGAAGGGCACACTAAAACCATTCATTTTTCTCGTTCTTCTTTCCTCTCACGTACAAGGCTCGCCACGTTGATGAAGTTAAGCACGAGCTGCCCCCATCCCCGTGTACCATAACGGCCCACTTGTACGCTGTGAGAAAGAAGCAGAGTGAAGGGGGAGGGGATAAACACAGGGGGGATATATGGAGAGCAGACAAACAAAGAATGATAAAAGGGAAATTAAGGGTAAGTACAGAGTGTGGAGTGAAGACGAAGGCAGAAGGGGATAAGAAAAGGCGGGTGTGGAGAG